TTGGGAGTTTTTTTGGATTCCCTACCTAAGGACTGTTTAATACCGAAAGTTAGGAGGTATTGCAATGTTTCTTTCTTAGGAGGCAAGAAGGCTGAGCGGTTTAGAATGCTAATAGCGGCCTCTTATTCTGTCAGCTTTTTAGAAAATTATTTCAAAATAAGCCGAACTCTAGGCCTTTGAGAATCTTCTTGGATAATTCGCATTCGTTAATCGGGGTCTTGGTTAATATTCCATGTTATTGGACAATGTTAACTATGTTATCTATTGCTTACGTCCTATTTAGGATACAACTACGGGTTGTTATAAACCTAGTCGCAGGATCACTTTTACGTGGTGACTAGGATAAGTAAGCTAATTTTTGGCTAAAACTAAGAATCCTATTAAATTTATTATTTTTTTTTATTCATTTGAAATTATATTTCTTTTTATAAACTAACTCTTTTTTATTAGTGTTATCGTCGCTATTTCGCTTTTGTTCGCGTCGTCGTTGCTAGTACCGTATCTTCACATTAATTTACGTCGTTGTGCTGGTGTGTTGTATACTGATGCCGTTGTTTGTTAGTGACTCGTTTTTATTATTTCACGTTCGTTTTTAGTTGTCGTTTATTTTGACAATGTCGTTTTCTGGTGTCGCCGTTAGTTGGTGTCATCGTTTGTTGGATTTTTCGTCTTTATTGCGTCGTTGTTGGTGTCACTATTGTTAGATTTTTCTCGCTTTCGTTTATAGTCGTTATTGATTGGTGCTACCGTTTGTTGGAATTTTGTTTAATTACGTTGTTTCACTAATGTTGACATTTATTTGTTCATTTTTTGTTATTTCACTTTCGTTTGTAGTCGTCGTTTTTTAGTGTCGTCGTTGGTGGTTCTCTAATATCGTCGCGGGTTGGTGTCATCGTTTGTTGAATTTTTCGTCTTTCTTGCGTCGTTTGCTGGTGTCGCCATTTGCTGGATTTTTCCCTTTATTACATTGTTTCCTAGTGTCTATTTGTTGGTTGTTTTGTTACTTCATTTTGATTTTCGTTACGTGACGATAGGGTCAAATTTTAGTTTAGGGAATCATTAGTTTATAGTTCAGATTATATTTGTTATAGTAGGGTTATTACAACGTTTAAAAATTTATTAATAAAATTGAGTTTGAAATTTCCTCTCCGGTGAAAATTAGAAATTATTATCTTTATTTATTTAATTACCGTCTTGTATAATGTTTGTTTTAGCATTAATTACTATTTTAATTGATTGTAATATTTAAAATTAAATTAAATTAAAATTTTTCACTATTTGCACGTCTCGATAAAATTTATTAAGAGTATATAATTTACGGATTTTAGAAGCCATATATGGTATTTTAACTCTCGGACATTGAATAGTTAACACAGCAATAATAAAAACAAGTGCGCATATATCTATTATCTCAATGAAATGGATAATCTAAAACCTGTGGTTTTTTGACCTCGTGCATGTCATATATTTTAGGATTTTAGGACATCCGAAAATAAACTTGATTTTAGAATTGTCCGAAAACCAACCTTAAAAATTTAGCAAGGAATTTTTTTTATATTTAGTGTTCGAAAGGTGGTTTTATAAACAAAATTTTTAATTTAGGTGAAGTCTCACCCAGGTGATAAATAGAGAGTCTCATCAAAAAGGCCCATTTTGTAAATTTTTGATAGATATATATAATGAAAAGAATTGTTATAAGTCATAAAAACAGAAAGAAAAATTTAATTCGCGAATACAATATTTTCCTCTTTGTCGATCATTTTTGAACTCGACTTATTCAAAATTGTTTATATTGCAAATGGGCCTTTTTAATGTGAGACACACCAAATATACTCTTAAAATAATATTATTATGATGATAAAAAAAAATAATAATTTACTTAATAAAATTTTAGTTTTTACAAGATTTTGATCTGCGGAACAAATAATGTAATCGAATGTATGACATATTTTTTATAATGAAATCTAACCAAAACTTTGTTAAGCAAAGAAAAAAGAATTTATATACATGTGATTTCTATATTAAAATTTTTTACAATATATAAACAATAACATGCATATAAACCACACACAACAGTTATAATTTTTCTTTAATACAATTAATATACAAATGAACTTTTCTAAGAGTATTATATTAAGATAATATTGGTATACCTATTTTCGAACAATGTTCGCAAAATCTTGAATTTCTGTCAATTCCATATCGAGTACAACTTGAACAAAAGATACCCCCACAAGTTTTACAGTGAATTTTCCTTTCTAAAGTAAAGAAATACAATTTAATGAAATATAATTTTGGTATATTATATTAGTGGAAATAATAAAAATAAATCACCTAGCACAGCAAATTTTACAAGGCATTTTAAACAATTGTCAGTTAGTCCATCTAGCATCCAATGAGATTCTATTTTGGTATCCGGTAAAACCCAAGAATAGACTTTTCCGGATGAATCTCCACTATAAAGAACTTTCTGAGTTCTAATAATTAGACAAATATGGTAACGGATAATTTAGAGTACAAAAATAGATTAATATTTAAGCAAAGATCTAAGGTAAATTACCCAGCCGGTAACAAAGCAACAATATCTACTGGAGGCGACGGTTCAATTCTACTTTCATGATTTAACTGATGACGTAGTTCTAAATCCCATTTGCACACTGTAAACGGATATAAGTTAGATCAGGTTATAAATAAATTAAATTACAAATGAATTTTATACCTTTATCTTCTTGCTTGACTTTTAAAGTTTTATTCCATATCTAAAATAGATAAAATTTGTATTAAAAAAAAAAGAAAAAAAAAAAAAATCTGTAAAATATAAATAGATAAACATGCCTTTATTACACCCTTTTTGTGTCCAGTAATAATATTGTCATTATCGAACCATTCATTTTGCTTGCCCTAAACATTAATTATATGTCAATTATAAAATTTAATAAATTCTATGAAAAAAAAAAAAAAAAAATTAAACATCACCTCGTAGAAGACACAACATAAAATTGGATCCGGAACTTGGGCAGTATTTTTAGTAATTAAAAGGTCTCCATTGATACTCCATAAGCGAATAATAGGCCCACTACATGTTGCAATATCCCCCTACAAAAATAATAATAATAATGTTATTAATTGCCATTGATAAATAATATTTTATATGTATAAAATTTGCTTACAGTTGTATCATTAATGGCGACAAACTAAAAGTTTAGTATAATAACAAAGAATAAATTATAAGTAATATAATAGAAAACGTTCACTCTAGAAATTGACACTAGATACCTGGACACCAGTTTCGTGGCCCTGCAACTGCCTAAAAATGTATTCTATCAATTTATTTAATAACCATTTGACATTTTCTCTAATCTCCATATTATTACTATCGCAGGGTGGCCATTTTGATCATGCCGATCGATTGTTCCATTCGATTGCCAAAGCATGGTTATCCGCTACCAGAGATAATATGAGTGATGTTAGAGAATTAATACCGGAATTCTTTTACTTGCCAGAATTTCTGGAAAACGCCAATAAATTTAATTTTGGTAACATCTTTAAATTTCAATAATGAGGTTTATATATCCAAGCTAATTACTTTATACATACATGGAAACTAGGTGTTAAGCAAGGGACAGGTGAAGTAATTGATTCTGTCATTCTTCCACCCTGGGCGCATGGCGATCCTAAAATATTCATACAAAAGCATCGTCAGGTAAGTTAATGGTTGAATGTAATACGTACTTAATTCAGCATATTATTTACTATTGTTTTTGAAATTTTAGGCTCTCGAATGTGACTATGTTAGTGCTCATCTCCATGAATGGATAGATTTGATATTTGGATATAAACAGCAGGGACAACCGGCCGTAGAAGCAGTAAATGTCTTTCATCATCTTTCATATGAGGGCGCCATTGGTATATAACAAAATTATATTAAATCGTTAACGCATCACAAAAGTAGCTGCGTGTTAACCTTATGCTATTCCAAATTTTTACCAAGATTTGGATGCAATTAGTGACCCAGTTGAAAGATCTGCAACAACCGGAATTATTCATAATTTCGGCCAGACACCTCGTCAATTATTCTTGAAACACCATCCATCAAGATCTTTCGAAGCAAATGATTCGAGTAATTATAAATTCAATGAAAACGTAGAAATGCTAATACAATCGATATCTCCTTTGCTAGGTAATGTTGTTTATTTTATATTATATAACAAAATTAAATGTATTATCTTGATGTGTTAATTGAGGCATTGAACTATATATACAGATATTCGATTGCAAGTACATGATATACGTCTTGCGAATGATCGACTCTATGCTGTTAGCACACAAAAAATGTTAGTTCCGCCAAATTATAC